TCCAGTCCAGGAAGCTTCCTGTAGGCCCCGGTAGGCACAGGCCCAGTCACGAAGAGAGCAGGCCTTGGGCCTGAAGTGGTTGCATGCGCCCAACTGCTTTCGGCCTGTGTTTGGCCTGGTACCCGTATCCAGCCCAGGGCCTGCTTCACATTCATTTACACAGGCGGCCCAGGGCCTGGATTCATTCAACAACTGGCGCAACGCAACTGTCTGAATTTCCCCGATGCGGGGTACCCTGAAGAATGAGGCCCGAAGGGCCTGTTGTGCCTGCCTTCACTTAGGGCGGCCGACCTTGTTGCAGATAGGGCCCCGTAGGGGCGTATCCTCGCACAGGTTTGCAGGTCGTAGTTATGGTTTTCGTCTGTATGGTTGCAGAATGCAGAAAGAAAAGAAAAGGAAAATTGAGATGGATAGGTGAAGAGAAAATTTTAGGTGGTGAAGATGAACTTGCTGAAAAGTATCTTGCCACACTAATGTGGCTTGATGTGTAGGTCTTCTAATGTGACTGAAATTTTGTGGTTTATGGTGATTGTGAATCGTTTGTGCTTTTGCGAAATGATTCCGTGATGGAACTCAGATCAGTACAAGACTGAAGACATACCTCGAAAGGTCTATGATTAAGTCCTTCACCAAGGAGTATGGGGTGTGTATTTTTCTTCCCTAATCCTGGCCTACAGCAGAACCTCTCAACCTTCGTGATTTGTATTCTGAGCTTGTTGTCCCTGTCTGGCGTCACTCATCCTCCCACCCCCCATGCCCAGTCCTCTTTCTGTCCTCTTGGCCTTCATTGTATTGCGCAAGGACTTCCACGCACAATCCTTCCTCACCCCCCTGATATGCACATCGGAATGCTTGTGCCCACATACACAGGCATGGGCACCCTTGCAAATGCCTCCATATGTGTGCAATTGCTGACAGAATCTGACAGATATAGACACGCATGCAAATGCCTTTGCTCATGGTTGTGCACACATGCTCACACCAGGCCACTGCATAAAGCACCTTTACCACCATCACTCATTTGCCCCAGGAGCATTTCTCTTGGGGCTGTCATTCCCAGCACTATCTCTAGCACATTTGAAGGGTTTTCTGTTTTTCCTAGCACCACCACATCCAACCGAAAAAATTCCCCTTGCATTACAGTTCGCAAGACTGCCAAATCATTTTTTCCGCACAATCGAAACCTGAACATCAGCAGGAGCAAGGGGAAAAGGGAAGTAGAAAGCTGAATGCATTACACCGCTGAGACCATGGCACAGTCTAAGACCCACAAAGGATGGTCTGCTATTTTGGGTCCGGGCCTACCATGTTCCCCTGGACACGACACCGCCTTATAACGACTGTCAGCCCAGAAATATAGCTTGTATACATTCACGATGAGGGTTTGTTGTGTTCAGGTGAAGACGGTAGGTAGCCTTCCTCTTTGCTTTTGCAGGCTAACGCACATGCAGATGGACACATTTTTTGTGACAAGGAATCAGATCCAGGTCTGTTTGAAAGCAGGCATTATATGAATGCATTCACTAGCTGGCCTATAGGACTCAGCAAGCCTCAAGGTGATTATACACTGGCTATCTTCGGTCAGCAGAGGCTGCATCCAGCACACACGAAATCACACTGACACAGAACACGACGAGGAAAGGTAGACAATGGAAACCAATGATACCTTGTCTGCACCCCCCATGTGGGACATGCGGATGGTGCTGGAAAAGTATGTTTGATGTGAAATGCCATTTTGAGCAGCTGTGCATTAGCATCCTGTATCCTTTAATTCTGCACAAGTCTTGGCTACCAGATTTGCCTGGGCCCACCTGCCCAGCCAGGCCACCCGCACCTGGGAAGCCTGGACCCACCTGCCCAGGTCACCGGGGCAAGCCAAAAATGAGTTAATCTTTTTGTTTCAAAAACTGGTACTGGTGATTTCTGTGCCCACTGAGATGTGCACAAATGCGGCCTTGTCTTTGAATTTGGTGGTGTCACCTGAGGGGATCTGGAGGGTAAGGGGTGTGCCATATGTGTATACAGTCACTGAGAACTGCCTGGTGAACGATAGGCAGAAGGGGAGACAAGGACAGAAATGGGGGTGTTTGACAGATTGTTTGTCGGAGTTTCACCGGCTCGTCAGAAGGCTGAACCCTCGTAACGTCTGCAGAGTTGCCTAGCTGATGATGCTGTAAGCCAAGATCTGCCAAGGGACTAGTAATGCTCCTGTAGTTCTGTACAAATGATATGCAATACCATGAATGAATGAACTTCAGACCCATTCTGAGGTCTTTGGAAGCCTCTACGTTTGCAACCTCAGGCCGCAGTCCTTCACGCAGGATCATGACCCCGATGCAAGATCTGAGTTCAGCCAAACTCGCACAGGCAATCATCTTGTACTGGTGCTTTCCAAGGAGACCAAACACAATCTAAGTGCTCTGCATGTTTCTTCAGAATCTTACTGAGGACAATAATGTTATCTAGATAGACCACAACAAAGTTCGAAGCAATGAGATACGTTGTTCATCACAATACTGGAGTGTACCAGGTGCTTTGCAGAGCCCGAATGGCATCACCACAAACTCATACAATCCATTGAGTGTCGAATGCAGTTTTTGTGCTGATCCTCGGGGCGTACCTCAATCTGATTGTACTTGGACTTCAGATCTATCTTTTGGAAGTACTTACATCCTCGCAGACTATCAAGGAGGTCATTGATGTGTGGCGGGGTCTCTGCGCTGCAAACGGTGATGGTGTCGAGTCCCCTGTAAATGATGCACATCCTTAGTGTAGCCCCCCCACTTGGGAACCTTGAGGAAATCGGCCTTATGCAGCCCCTCGGTAAGTTCCTTGAGCTGCTTGCGAAGATTGTCTAGCTCCGCTGTGGACATCCTATCGATTCTGGCCCTTGGGATCTTACTCTCTGAAGGAATCTCTATGACATGTTGCATCTGCCTATTCGGAATTCCTGCTGGCTCTCTGAGTGCCTATAGCCTGCTCCTTTTGAGAAAGAAATACGAGAGACATTCATTCTGCTTCCTCAAATTGTAGAACGAGCTCACAGCCAAGCATTGATAGCATGGGTTCAGGCGATGCGACTGATATCTGGAGTTCTTGTTCGACATGGTCTACGACATAGTTACCTCTGTGTAGTATACACTCAGAATCATATCAAACGACATGTCATTGGTGCCTAAAAAAGACGACTTGTGATGTAGTTCCCAACAGTGATCTGCGTGCTGTTAGCTAGTGCAGATAGTACTGACCTACTAGGCTGTGGCATTTCCTTACAGTGACCCTTCTCCATGCGCGTGGGGACTGTAACCCTGAGTCCATCCTATATCGGCTAAGGCCCCAACTCTTTTGCTATTTAGTTCTCCCTCTACTAAAATCAACTCGCCCTGGGAACTGTTTTTCACTGCTACCCGGGATTATACTAATTTGGGCAATTCTTCTGCTAGCTCTTCAAGAGAATCAGTCATGTCCCGAGAGCAGATGATCTCCTGTCGGACTGTGACTGGTGGGCAGCATCAGGGTCAACAATCACAGTGGCGAGGCTCTGAGGATGAGAGGGACTCAATGGGACCTGCTGGTTCTATTTCTCCTTTCTTCTCAGACTTCATCGAAGGGGCTGTGGCTTTTCTCGGCTCACTAGGTTTGCCTGGGAACATACATGCCACATCCCATACATGCTCCCGTATTTCTCCCATCCTTCCAGACCTGTTTGGTCAGTCCTCTGTGTTCCCATGGCTTCTTCACCAGGATGAAGGAAGGTGGTTGAGTTGGACTCTGCTTTTGACTCTGTAATCGTGCGTAGGTGCCCACATCTTTCCTTTGCGTTTTACCATGGAGGCAGCTACTCCCTCCTAAGCTTTGCTGCCGTGCTCTGTGTGCCAGCTCCAAGCCCTTTGATGCCCACGGCTTGTTTCCATTCCATAATTTTAGACTTGTAAGAGATGGCCTGGCTTCTGCCGGAAAACATGGAGCAGTCGCTTTTTATTGCTCCCCAGACTGCTGCTTCTCTTATGCTTGGGACCTTGCCCGGGACCATACCTGGGACCCTGCCTGGACCTCGACCAGGCAGCAAGAGGCAGCCTGAACGGCCTTGCTGGCAACCGGGATATAACTCAAATTTTTATATTTCTTTTTTGTTTTGTTTTGATATTTTGGTATTTTTTAATTTATGGTGTGCTACACCAGGTTTTAGCGTGCTGCTTGCTGCACAGATCACTGCACTCTGCAGCGCACATGCCCAGTGACACGTACACAATTAACACTAGTCTGCGTTATGCTAAGAACTTCAAAAAAAATAGCGAAAGAGAAAAGGAAAATCTGGAGCATCGCAATGTGTTCGGGGGACAGATCACCGCAGGGCGCATTTCCGGTGACAGTGTGCTTCATGCAGATAAATTTTGAAGATAATGAATGAAGGAGAGAAGAGGAAACTGTGAAGCGCTGAATTGGTGTGATGGAATGATAAAGAGTTTGAGCTTTGAATGGCAATAAGTTCCAATGTATGGATTACAATGATATACATGCGATGGGATATGGGTGCATCCCAAGTGGTCAAAAGAGATAACAAAACTCGGTCTTTTAGAAAAAAGATGAAAATCTGAAATCACGAAATGGCAACTTGCTATAGTGTGAAATGTGAAAAGAGGTCTAAAAATGAGACCAAGAGACTTAAAAACTTACTTTTGCCAAAAAGAATCCGTTTCATGAGAAAAAAATAATGAAGAATAGATCATTAGACACCTAAAATAACCTGTGAAAAACTAGGTTTTCAGGGATACTCAAACTGGGAGGCCCAGCAGGCAGCATGGCGACGTGCCCATGAGGTCTCCTGCAATCCCAGTACGTGAAAAGTATGGGATTTTGCTTTTGTTTTTGTTTTTGTTTTTGTTTTTGTTTTTGTTTTTGTTTTTCATAGGTGGGCCATTTCTGTGCAATCATACTCGTTCTCATTCACACTTTTCATGCATGTAAACAGCAGCACAGCAAACTGGCGATATGCGCCCACTCGAAACTCAGAGATATGGCTTCCAGATACGAGTTCACTTTCAATTGGCTATGGCGACTCAGCGGCCAAACAACTCACTGTTCACACACACACCGGATCACCCTGGATATCCCACACGCGTAACTCTGAACACTCGAACACACACACACACACTTCCCACTAAACTACAGCTATGGCAGCTATGGCTGCCTCTACCCTATCGCTATGCTAACTCCTCCTCTCTCGCCCACTGCGTCCTCCGGGCTCACTGCAGACCTCCTTGCACTAGTCGCTGTGGCAGCGCTTCCGCATCGCTCACACAGGAATGAATGAATGGCTGGGCGCTGCCTCTTGATTTATACTTCGGAAACTTGTTGGTCTGCCCTTTGCCATCGGCCCATGGTGCTCACAGTCCCCTGTGGTACTTGCTGGACCGGACTGGGACTGACTGGACCTTACCGCTGACTGACTGTGGACTCACTGCTAACCTACCGTAGTCGCACTGCAATTGCACTGCAGTTTAGTCCACCACTTGGCTCGCCACTTGACCACTTGCCGACCTTCTAGAAGGACTACAGCTAGACTTCTGTAACTCGCTAAGACTTCTACTCTATAGATCTACAGATCGAACCCCTGCTACCTACGGACCTATGACAGACCGA